GAGGTATAGGGCCACTGTGGAGAGAACTAAACATAATTAATAATAAGATTAACATAACCTTTTCATGTAAAGGTTATAATTATGAGAATGAAGTAAGTATTTTAAAAATAAGTCATATTATTAAGATAAAAATAATGAGAACAAAATCATAGTTTTACAAAGAAAGATTTAATGTTATGGGAGTGAAGTTGGTATTTTACCAGAATAAGAATGACAGTACAAGAATAAAATTAGCATCTTATGATATTTAGTGTCAGGAAGGAAAACTTTCTCATGAGTTACTCTCTTAAAGGGTCATTTCCATAAAGTTTGTGGACTTACAGGAGACATATTAACATAAAGAATGATCAAAATCAGAGCAGCAGAGGCTGAGAAATACTGACTTTTAATCTCAGGTTTAACCCCCCAAAAGCACTGCATCTTACAAATAGATAAATAAGTAAGACACTATAACCAGTCCACCAGAGGATGCAATTTTTCAATTTTGTAGCTTTATTACCATCACCTACTCTATATTATTTCTTACATTGATTAGTTCCCGTGAATTACTAAATGTGTAATATAGTACACAATGCCACAATATTTCAAATGCTCTTCTCCTTTAGGTTTCAGAGAAAACAACTAAATAATATGCATTTTTGCATCACAGTACAAAGCTGAAATAAAAGTGTCATTAAATCTCAGCTGAAGTTGCTAAGGAGCGAAGAACTGAAGGTCATAACATTACACTGTTAGTTTGAGTGCATGATTTGAGAGGGAGAATTACTCATTTAGGAAAATAAATGAAGCATGTTGAGAGTAGGAGTTGCTCAGTTTTGGGGAGTGAATAAGTATACAGCTTCTCCTGTAGAGGATCACAGCCATGGAGCCATTCCCAGCTGATATTTGGTGAGAGGCAGGGTACACACCAAATCATTTAATTTGAAAGCACAAATTACTACTAATACAACATTTTTTCCTTCTGACACATTTCAGCCTCCGTACATTCAAGGTTTGCCAATGTTAAAAGTCTACAGTTACTGAATTCATTGTCTGAAAAAAAAATCAGTTCTGTGGATACTGTGTATCCAAAAATTGTAACATATAGTGTTAAATACTTTCATTTTTTCACCTCTTTTGAAGGGATTTAACTGACACATTACTGTTCTTAGCAAGAAAACAAGCCAGTGTTTGATATGAAAATGCTTTATTTCATTTTATATGTCTTTTATATGAAATAAAAAAAAAACAAGGTCAACATTGCACCCACTATCTGTAAATGTGTTTGTGCAAACATGGCACATATTAAACACGCAGCATAGTCGGGTTACAATCATGAATCAAAGGGCCTGAAGAAAGAACAGATGGATCCCCAAGAGCTAGAAAACCTTTTTTGTCTTTGTTTTAAACTGCTTTTGCTCTTTGTATTGTTGCATCCAAAGTGTCTTTAAGGTGCAGGATGTCCTCTGTTTCTGTTTGTGGATTTTTGCTAAACCTCACCTCCAGGTGTTTCCAAGTCAAGTTAATATTGCCGTAACAACAGTGTTGCAGGATTCACGAGATGCGATTGATTTTTATTGGTGTAGAAGTGCAGTGTATTTGTTTGTGGCAACAGGAGAAAGTCTGTATTTGATGTTTCATGTTTTCTGAACAAACTGTGCTATAAGGAGGATGGGTAATGTGTTGTAAGGATTTCCTCTTCACCTGAATTTGGTACCATGTAGCCTGAAGTTAACACTACTGTGTCCCTGGTTTGCGATGTCTGCTCACCATCCTCTGTATCTAAAACAAAATGGATGTGCATTTTTGTCAGTGCATCTAGCATTGGAAATGTTTTACTTTAGCCACAGCTGTGTTTTCCCCCAAACTGGACACAGATGTGCCACAAAACTGCACATTTCTTTTATAACTGTAGTAACTGTACCTTGTGCCTCTATGAGCCTCATCCTCTTCTGTACTCACCTGAACTCTTCTGTCTGTTTGCTGCTCAATCACTCGCTAAACTTTTCTACAGAAAGGCCATTTCTTTGTAAATACATGTGTTGGAACAGCTATGACTAGCTAAACAAACCACAAAAAAAGATTTAATAAATATTTCTTTGTCGTTGTAATCATCATGACTGATATGTTTTATTAATCTTTATGTAAATGAATGGCAGTTTGTGAAATGAACAGAACATAAAAAAAAAAAAATCAAGGCTTTGTTGGAGCAGCCCGAGCAAGTGCTGGGTGTTTGTCTTGGTTGTCACTCGTTGCATAATCACACAGGCTGAATCCGGGGTAAGTGGGCGAACAGTTGTTTTTCTATAATCTGTGGGTAATTCACAGGCTGAAAAAGCAAAAACAGACAGAGCTCCAATTAATCTTGAAGAGAATGTGCAGTGCTTCAGGGAGCTCTGCCAGGAAAACATGTCTCACATGCTCTTTAGTTCCTCGCTCCGCTGTGATTCGCCTGCTGTCTACTTCAACTTCTCACTTTTTGTCTCAGTATTTCCTTTCCTTCCTCTGTCTCTCCATTCGCTTTCCACCAACCTGATGAGGAAATTTAAGACAATATATCAAAGAGAATTTTCAGAAAAAGGTCAAAAAATACACTGTTGTTTGGTCCAATGTAGCAGCCTGTTTTATCAACAATGATAAGGTGCTGCTGGAACTGTTGGTGCTGGAAGAGATCTCCTCCACTCTAAAGGCACTCTCCAGTAATTTGGTGCTACACTTCCTTTAAAGGCAAATTGGTCAAAATGATCATAATCTAAGCAGCAGGAGACGAAACATTCTAAAATGTGTTCCCTCCAATAGATCAAGCTCCACATTAGGTTTTTCATTTGTCATAATGGAACCTGATCTTTCATTAGACCTACTCTGACTGATACATAAACTGTTGCTCAAAAATACCATATATAACAGATTTCATTGTTATACTACAGCATGTTTGACATTGAGCAAAAAAAAGGTAATGAAGATAATGTCTACATTTAATTGTGTCAGAAAACCAACTGAAATACTGAATTTTTACTTTTAACTGTACCTCCTTTTTTAAATCAATCTGTCAAATAAATGTAATCCACTGCAAAAAAAGACCCACAATACTGTAGCACAACCTCAAAACTGTACTCTAAGCACAATACTCAAGTAAATGTTCTTACTTTCTACCTCTGCAGCTCTAGAGACCGGTGCTGGATATTTCGAATTTTCCTGCAGCTGTGTGTCTGTTCTGCCAGCAACAGGAAGCAACGTGTATTTTTCCAGTGTGAACAATGAGGGAGACATACCTCGTGCGGT